TTTAGAAGTATGTGAACTTTTAATGTTATAGGAGTCATAAATTTAACAAACTTTACCATGTACTTGAATGTTTTGCAGATAACATGCCACCAATTAAGAAAGTTTTGTCCGAAGTCACACTTGATCTGGAAAAGAATGCTGCGTTGCTGTTGCGTGTCATCAGAAAATGGACTATCCCATTCAAAAACAACACGGGTTTAAAAGTTTGTGAATTAGTGTTGGTGGATGAAGAGGTAAATCATCCAATATGGTATTTGATTAAACTGCATCCTATATATTGGAATTGGAGGAGCTAATATAAGACTCAATTACCCAAAATTTTATATAGGGTTGGCCTATGATCAACTTAGACTAAACTAAACTATACTGTATTTTTTAAAATTGCCTTTTTAGTGAAACTGATTCTTGCAGCTGGTAATTTTTCTAAACTGCTTCACAAATAACTTTAGCAATGATATATCAATTCCAAAAATCAGAAAGAAGCTCTTTAACCTGTAGAACCATTACTTTAAATAGGGATATCATATATTTGGAAAAAACATAAGCTCCTTAGCCTATATGTTATCCTTTGCAAAATGCTTTAATCTCATAGTACTTAATTTAGAAAAAAATACCTATCCAGAATGATTATAAGCTGCCTCTACGATAATTACTTTTGAATTATGAAAAGTAAACGAAGAATAAACGAATCAGGAAACTTAAATTCAGAAACTCAACATGGAACATAAGAAGAAGAATTTGAAAGAATGAGAAGTATGTGTGTTTGATTATTTACTGTTTTAGAATACAACCTTTTGTCTATTGTTTGAAATATATTCTGTTCCAGAATATCGGTATTATTATACTATAAATGTTACAATAATGTGTGTTTGTTATTAATACCTAATTGATTTTATAGGGCAAACATATTTAAGCAACCATTCCACTCCAATTGAGATACCAATGCTAGAAGGTAAGCCGGAAGAGGGTAGCCTTTATGCAATGGTAAATTTTTCAGTGAAGGAAAATCAGGGCAAATGGAGGCCAACTTCTCATCCATTCCGTTTGTGCTTCATCGAGAACACAAAAATCCTGGATCAAATGATTGAAAAGCATCCAGCCTTCCAAAAAAGCATCTACAAGTTGACAGAGTTTTCTGATATTATTAATTACCCCGACGTAGAAACTCCTGATTTGTTGGGTAAGTATTAATCATTAAAATTATATTAGTTGGACTTTTCATATACTTTTGTAATCACAATTTAAACGTTTTTTTGTAGACGTCATCGGTGCATGCCATATTAAAGATAATTTGTTCAAGTCAGATGACGGAGGAACATCTTGGTGTAGATTCCAGATAAACAACCTACAGTTGATACAAATTTATTTATTAAATATGTAAGTTAACAAGTATTTAAATATTCTTTTTTTAACAATTGAATATACTTTCTTCCAGGAACACTAAAATATGGTGCACGCTGTGGGGTGATTACTCAGCTCAGTTTTTGAGGTTTCTAGAGGTCCCTAGACAAGATCCATTTATCGTGCTCCTACAATTGGGTCGAATAAATAAACGTTTTGGTACTTTTAATACATACTAACATGCAATTTTTTTTATATTTAGTTATATGAAATTTATGTTGCATTTTAGAGAATATGATCATGACAATTTAATGCAGCCGGTGATACGAAGGGTGTGTGTTCCTCATTATATTTCACAAAATTGCTGTTAGATGACCACATTATTCCAGAAATTGAAGAGTTTCGAGGGCGGTATGTACTATTGAAGTGGAACATGCAATACATAGTTACAATTGCATTCAAATTATACTGGGAATTATTTAAATAATATATATAACTTAATTCTTTATTGAAGCTATATGGTGATGGCGCAACAACCAACTCCATCCAATAGCGCTATATCGGGTGCATCTAAGGCATCCATCACTACATCGTCTGAAGTTGGTTATACAAAAGTGCTGTCAGAGCTTTCCACTGTGAAAGAGGTAAACTTTTCATATTTACATTTATGTAATTGTAAAACCATCTATGTAATTGTAAAACCATCAGTCAAATTTCTTTAGTGCGAAGACTATATATACTCCTTCAAGCTTGTGTCTAAGTAAATTTGTTTGTTTGGAAAGTATTATTAATAATCTTTCAACCAGCTCTCTCAAACACTGTTTAAATGTTGTTTCTCAAGTCATCTTGGACAAGAATATGTCGAATTTATAGGCATTTCAATTTATTGTGCAAGGATTTTAAGAGAGAAAGTTTATATTGAAGAGCACACTTACAAAAGTAACAAGCATAGATGCTGAAGTGATTATTATTTCTTAGTAATCAAGTTCGTTATACTAGAATAAAATGATAAACATTCATCACTTTCGTCCATCGCTTCATTTGCAGAGAGTTTCATCCATCACTTCATTTTATTCTGAGGAGCTAAGTTCTTCTCATCCATCACTATATAAATTATGGGTCAGTTTGCTTCTGAAATTAAAAAACTTCGACTTTTACATTTTTCATTTGTGTTTTCTGTAGAAAAAAGAATTCCCTAAGGGGAGTGTATCCTTTTAATATGGCTGAATGTATAGGAGATGCGTTTAGGAGCACGATACTGAGGTTGAATTAGAAGCTTAATATTTGTGTTTTATTTTAACATTAAAAACAAACATTCTTATCACAATACAATTTTGTTAAATAATCATTCATATGCCAGATTAATCAAAATACTACTAATTTAATACAACAATGCATTAACATCACAAGATACATATTAAACTACCAAAAAGGTTGGCAAAATTGAAGATTAATCAACAAAAAATGGAAATGGGGCTTCTAGATGCAAAACAGTTTAATTTTTTAGTTAGATTGTGTAAGAAATTTCACTTATCAACATATTCTTGTGCTTAAACTTCACATTGTAAAATCCTCTTTGATATTTGCGATTGATATGTATGCGTACGTGGCTTAAACCTCTTTCCTGATCTTAAACCTTGATTAATTTAGTGAGATCATTATATATCTATCGATTTCATTATTCTATATTTTTTCTTAATGTCTTGAAGTTTTGCATTACGTTTATGGATACATCTCATTTCCAAATGTGATAGGTACGTGGATATTGGTTCTATGGTGAAGTATATTCAATAATTTCCTTCCGCAATTGGGCGTTCCTTGGATGTAGCGAACTGAAGTGCTTCAAGAAACTTAATGATGATTACATGTGTGAGAAGTGTGGGATGCATAGACCTAATGGCATATGGCGATACACACTGAAACTCAAAGTTAGGCACATAAGACATTTTGCAGATGTGATATTTTAGGATGATGCGGCACGCCAACTTCTTGGAAAGGCTGCAAGCGATTTTAGTGAGCATCTTGACAGGGCACACCATTATTCTAAATCTATTGTACACTTTAATATTTAAATTGTGGCTTTTCAGTGTTTAACTTCTAATCATTTTATGTGTTATAGGATAATCGTAGAACAACGAGTTGTCCTGATACCATAAATGAACTGGTTGGACAAGAGTACCTTTTCAAAATCAACCGTGCAGATTTGGTTCCTGGCAATGGCGGACAGATTTACGCCATAAGCATGGTGTCAAACAATAGAGAAAAAATAGATGAGATTAAAAAATCAGCCGCTGAAGAGTCAATTACTGAGGTAATATATTCAGACTTCGATGGATGGACTATAGTTTGTATTTTTTTAAATTCAAAATAATCACATAAACTGTACATGCATATTATTCTGATGAGGATCTCGAATTGCTTTTTGAAACCGGAGCAGCTATAGTAGAATCAAATGTGGTATGCCCCTATCTCTGCATTATAAACATTCAAATGAAAAAATACTTCTGCTACATTCTAGCTAAGTGTCAAACATTATTTTTCATTTGTTGATTACTATTTTGACATCCTGTAAATCCTATTGAAGGTTACATCGGACATGGAGAATGATGCAACCGATACTCCAAATTCGACTTCACGTCGTCGAAAAATAGAAGGAACATCAACTCCGAATGGTGATGGCTCAACTTAGGGATCATCTAACAAGAAGTTGAAGTCCGTGAAAATTGAAAAGCCGTGACATTATTTCTATTGTTCCAATTAGACGAAATATTGTTCTTTGTTTTCTTTTCAATTTTAGCACTTATGTTGAACTTTTCCTGGGGGTTTATTTTTACCTATTATACGATTTGGATTTTTTGCATTGTTTGTGTTTTGAATTACAATAAAGAGCATGTGCTTTCTATTAATTTTTTCCTAATAATATTCTCGTTGAACTTATATTCTTTGCTTGAGTTATGTGAATATGTTCACTTATATTTTGCTTAACTTTGGACAAAAATAGGAACCAATATCAGAAATAAGAAGGTTATGCTGGATTGAACTGTTAACTCTCTTTTTTCAGTAGAAAGTAAATATTTTTTTGTTTGAAAAATGTTTCAAAGGGGATGTAAGATGATGCCTCTTCTTTGGTTTTGCAATGCCTAAATGTGTCCACATTTTTTACTTATATAATTTGTCCTACTGTGATGTTACATGTTCTATAATATGAGACATGTTCTGTAGAAAGTTGATGAAAGAAGATTAGTCACCTTGGTTAAACCTGAAGAGTTGGATTCAATCTTTTTTATTGAGAGAGGTATGCATAACAATCAACACATAAAAATGAAAACTGAATACCAGATTGAGTAATGCAAATTAACGTATCATATGTAATACACAGTAGGGAATACATAGACCTCTTCTTATATTAGGAAACTATTACTAATATTACAATAAGCAATAACTAATTAGATGAATACGGACCAATATGTTCACATCAATTTTGTGTAAGGAAATAATCTACTAATTTAATTGCCAATTTTGTGAAAGGAAAGAATCTACTAATTTAATTGCAATGATGGACCAATAGTATAGATTCCATTTATAACGTAATAAACATTATGACAACTCTTTTATATAAATACATAAGCCTATTCTTCACAACTTCATTCCAACATGGACTTGCACACAACAAAGCAAAGGCCATGTTGAATGGGTACGTATGTTCTAAACAGACTTGCTCAGGAATTAAAAGTACTATCAGGTATGTTCTAAATCTTGTGTTTTCATATGGAGATTACCATGTTATTTAAATACCGTGTTACAACCATGAAGCAAAAATTTAAATGATTAAAAATATTTGAATGGGTTATCACACCGTGTTATTTAATTACATATTATTCAAATGATTGTTGATTATATTGAATACTGTAAGAGTAAAATTGATTAAAATAGAGGGTAAATTAGGATTAAAATAGTTTACGACAATACTAATCTCCTATGCATGTAAACCCCCTAGAAAATACAAATTATGACATATACTATTTTGGTTTAAACAATAACAAAATCTTCCCTTTATGAAATATATATAGTTACTAATTAATGTTATTTTTAGGAGATGTTTCAAAATAGGACTAAATATGGTTTGAAATTCTAAAATAGGATTGCTATGTTATTCTTCCTGAAACAGGAGTAAGATGGAAGTATTTACTGTCCTCTTTTAGTAATAGGTCAGCTATTATGATAAAAAATCTTGCCATATTTTTTTAAATTTCAATTTGGCGGACCTTATTTACTCACATTAAATATTAGTGATTTTAAATTATTTCAATGTATACTTTAAAAAAATAATGTATTTCAATGGAGTAAAATAGAACTTTTTGTTGGGTGTGTTTCGGAAAATAAAGAAAATTAATTAAAATAAATTAATTAAATAAAATGACTAAAGAAAAACAGGAAAGGAGATGAAGCAGAATTAGTCAAAGCTCGTGCTACGCACGATTTCCTTAAAACGTATTTGTTGCCTCCCACGGTGCTAGAAGCGTTGCAACAATCGTTTCCCAGGATACGATGACTACGAACTAATGTTTGAGCACACAAACAAGAGTTCCAGCGAACGAGAACCAAGTATGAACACAGAAGGAAGTTTGCTGAGTAGCTTTAGGTGTTTTTAGCTCAAGAAATTCGTGAGGAATGTATTGTGCGTTGTGTCAAACCGTGTGTTTGTTGCAAAGCACCTGCCAGCTATTTATAGGAGGATTTGTTGTGTGTTAAATGGGGTGTTAATGGACCTGAACGTTGGACTTCAATGACCAGTCCGTTGGGCATTGAATCATCCATAAAGTGTCCATTTAACGTTGCATTAAAAGACAAGAACATTGGGCATTTAATGGTTGTAACGGCTTGGAGCAGTTCAGGTGCGCGATCAGAATACCCCCATCAGAGTTGGAGCAGTTCTGGTGCGCGATCAGAATACCTCCACCAGAGTTGGAGCAACTCTGATGCGAAGCCACCAGAGTTTGAGCAACTCTGGTCCGACATTCGTGTCCGCAGGTCGCCTGCGCACACGAGTCGCGGTTTTTCTTCTCCGTTTCGGGATTTGATCGGCACCCCCCCCCTGCGCGTAAGAGAGAGCCTTTCCCTTTAGGAATCTTAACTCCTTAAAAGAGGCTTCCCTTTATAAGGGGGTGAAAATCCCTTGAGTTTTTTTGGTGTGGGATAAAACACACTAGAAACTCACCATTTTCTCAGTTTTTCCATTTCAACGAGTGAACTTCGAGAATCAATTTCTCATTCACCCGTTATCCGTTTTGAGTGTACCATATATCGAATTGTATCCCTTAACAAGGACAATCTGAGACCACTTTGACCCGGACCAAATCGGAAGTGGATCCCACTCAAATAATTGCCCCAAAAAGACCATTTAATGCAATTTTAACACATTTTTCCAACACTTTTATCTTATTAAAATCCTACTACTACAAGACTCCTAATTATGTGCACGTCACTTTTATATATGGAAGCAAAATGTGGAACTCCTAATTTAATCACAATCATTCATTTATTTCTATTTTATCTAGGTTACCCGCCTAACCACACATTAAAGGACTTACCTAATCTCATAAATTTAGGTTTCACTTATGTTTATGATAAAATTTGTGTTTCGAAATCATTTCAAAACCTATGTCATTTATATATATTTAATAAACTATTAAACAATCACTATTAAACCTATTAAACCTATGTGATATATATATATATATATATATATATATATATATATATATATATATATATATATATATATATATATATATTACAGGTGCCATAGATGAAGAATCTTACAAAGTCTACAATTATTTTGGGCAAACGACCGCAATCGAACCAAACACCAAGTCTTGAGGATAATGACAACAGTAATTCAACTAAAAGTAAGAATTCTTAATTTATGTAAGTTATAATCTATACTATCAAGTATTAAGTTATTCACCAGTCTTTGTGCTCCATATTTAATTGTAATTGTTTACTCACTATATAGTTGCTCCTGGAATTTATACATTTGGGAATTGTGTCCGAAGTATTTTTAACTCAAGTGACATAGAACACCATGATGTCACGATTGTTCCGCTTGGTGGTCAGAACCGACGTGCCCCTATTGATGAAGGGTTAGATGTAAATACAAGTGATCCCAATCCTCAACCGGGTATTGCAACTATTAAATTTATAAATGTTTATATAGATGGCGACATTTAATTAATTGAAAAAATTAAATTTAATATATATTACTTTAAATAATTAGATGCGGATGGTGACTATCCTCAACATAGCATTGAATTCCATAACTTGAATGGAGATCTATTGTCATTTGTTGGTACATATTCATTTTGAAACCATATATAATGATGTATTTATAATATTGAACCATAATAGCACATACCGTTTTTTATATTAATTAATTGGTAGTTATACATATTAATGACGTTTTAAACAATGAAACTTTAGATGGACTTGCTGATAATGCAACCTCTTCAAATGAAGGTATTATTACATTTCATTATTTTTATTTATGCTCCAGTACCAAGTGGTACTACAAAGTACTTACTAAAATATGATATATTTGTATATTATTTTAAAATTTATCAGGTTACGTCGACCTTGGTGATGGTATACATGAATGTCAATATTGTGGTGCCCTTTTCTGGCATGAAGAGAGAGTCAAAAGATCCTCTGTGAAACAAAGGCCAAAATTCACACTGTGTTGCAATCAGGGGAATGTTGTGCTCCCCAAAATGCAACAACCACCAAAGCTTTTAGAAGATTTGATATTTGCAAGGATAAGCGGAGTAAACATTTCCTTGAAAATGTGAGATCATATAATTCAATGTTCTCATTCACGTCCATGGGTGGAAAAGTTGATCGTGAGATAAATCAAGGGAGAAATCCTCCTATATTCTGATTGAGTGGTCAAAATTATCACAGAATTGGAAGCCTACTTCCAAATGACGGGACAAGACCAAAGTTCTTACAGATGTACTTATCAGATCCATCTGAAGAAATTTCACAGCGAATATCAACCGTGAGGTTAGTAAATATAAGCATTCTTTCCAAGTAGTAGATATGTATATGAAATAGATTTAGAAGGTCTACGTTCTTCATTTAATCAATTTGAGCTATATCATTAGTTTTCAAATATATGACATCAACTGGAAAAAAATGCATGACTTAAGGTACTAAGTTATGAAAATAGATAAAAGTAAATTTTAAATGGAGGCAATACATATTTACTTTATTAGTAAAATTAGTTAGTACATTTAGAGGCAAATATAAGGTTACTATTTAAAGAGTGCTGATCTGGTGCGGATCGTCTGACTGGAACTCCCATTTGAACAAGGTCATTTGGAGCCCTTCCATTGGACTTTTTTGATAAATTTTTTAGGAATGTTTTTCAACAAGGTTATATTATCTCCACAATTCTTCAGCTTCACATTCAACCGGGAGGTCAATTAAATAAATTGTTGCAACATACATATATACGTGTATTTATATATATATATACATACATTGCAGTATGTTTTAATAATTTATTTTGTAGACTTCCCGATTAAATTGTAATCTGAACTTTTGAGAAGATAATCTATATTTGATCAAGAATATACTCATAGAATTTCAGCGAAAAGTTCCATTGGGAAGGACCCAACATGACATTGGTCGGACATCCATTCCCGTGCGGACCGCCTCAGGAGATCATTAAGATACCTATAATAATATTAAACAGTACAGTGACATACATATAAGAAATTTTTTAATGTATTTCCAAAGGCTTTATGAATTATATTTATATTATTGCATTCAAATATTTAAGTACACTTTTATTGCTACACAGGAAAGAAAATGACACAACATTGGATGATACACTGGTACATGATTTGAGAGATATGCTCGATACACACAATGTTCATGCGAAGTCTTTCCGGATGGCAAGAGATCGGTTTAATGAGTCTAACTCTACAACACTGAAAATGAGGCTCATTGGAAAGAGGAAGACAGAATGGCGAACATATAATACTCCTACAGTTTCTGAGGTGGCATCATTTATTGAGGGAGACTTCCATGTGAACAAAGCTGAGCGAGACTTTGTCATTCAAACAAAGTCAGGGGCTTTTCAATTCATGACAGAGTTAAACCCTTCATTTTTGGGATTGCAATACCCCTTGCTATTCCCGTACGGTCAGGATGGATACAGAGAAGATGTTAGATTGAGTCGTGCTAACAATGAGACGGAGCGAGGAAGGAAGCATGTCACCCAAAAAGAGTTCTTTTCATATAGGCTCCAAGAGTGGAAGAATGAAACGTCATATATATTGCGAGCAAAATGTTTATTTCAACAATTTTTGGTGGACGGATATACAATGATGGAATCAGCTCGATTGCAATATATTCGCCAGCATCAGAAGGAATTAAGAAGTGACTTATACAGTGGCTTAGCTGATGCGGTTGGCCGGGGTGAGACTAATGCATCCAGGTTGGGTCAACTCATTGTGCTACCTAATTCTTTCACGGGGAGTGCACATTATATGATGCATAATTATCAAGATGTGATGGCTATATGTCGATGGGAAGGGTATCCACATTTATTCACATGTAATCCTAAATGGCCAGAGATTATGCGCTTCGTTAGTGACCGAGGGTTGAATCCAGACGATAGGCCAAACATCCTTTGTAGGATATTTAAAATGAAGGTTGACCTCCTAATAAAAGATTTGAAGCAAAATAAGATATTTGGCGATGTCAAAGCAGGTAATAATTATAACATTTTACAGCATTTTATAGATTACTACTTTCCATTTACTACAACTAACTTAACTTTTAAATGTAAACATGTATTACTTTTAACTATTTTTATATTAGATTTGTCAATTTAAATCTATATTAGACTCTTGAATTTCATTTAAATTTCATGTTATGAGTACATTTTTTAATGCTTACAAAATAATAAATGCTTAATTTTTCATGAACGCTTGCATGCACTAAATTCACATATAAGTGTGTTGTTTTAATTTGCCTCACCTTTTATTTTTTATGTATATCAATATTTAATTTTTTTTGAAGGTATGTCTCATAGTAGTTCATAAATTAAAACTACAAGATAAAAAGATATACATGTTAATAGTTGCTATGTTTCATTTATAATTGAAATTTAACAAAACATTTTTTCGATGCAGTTGTCTACACTATCGAATTTCAGAAGCGTGGTTTGCATCATGCTCATATAGTCTTATGGGTTACTCAGAAAGGCAGGAGAATATCACCCTTAGAGATTGACGAGATTATATCAGCGGAGATACCTGATGAGGATTCTGACCCGGACTATTACAACGCAGTCAAAGAACTTATGATGCATGGACCTTATGGTGCAACAAACAAGTCATCGCCATGCATGGAGAATAATGTTTGCACAAAACACTTTCCGAAACGTTTTGTTGAGAAAACAACCATTGATGGGCATGGTTATCCAGTTTATAGACGACGTAATGATGGGAGAATTGTTACAAAAAATGGGGTAGATCTCAACAATAGACATGTGGTCGCGCATAATCGTACATTGCTGCTCAAATATGGTGCACACATAAATGTTGAGTGGTGTAATCAAACAAGGTCAGTCAAGTATCTTTTCAAGTACATAAATAAGGGTGACGACCGTATCACAGTTGAATTTTTTGAAGCAGTGGATGGCACCAAACAACAACAAGTTGATGAGATTAAAATGTACTACGATTGTCGCTACATCTCAGCATGTGAGGCTGCATGGAGAATATTTGGATATCCTATCCATTATCGAGATGTGTCGGTGGAACGTCTTAGTTTTCATTTGCCAGACGAGCAACCAGTATACTACCATCCGAATGAATCGATGGAATCTGTTCTTGGAAAAAGCACAGTTCGGGACACAAAATTCTTGGCTTGGATGAAGGCAAATGAAAAATATCCAGAGGCACGAGAATTCACATACGTTGAATTTCCAACCAAGTTTACTTGGAAACAATCAACCAAGGAGTGGATGCCAAGAAAAAAGGATTCTCAATTGGTCATGTGTTTTTTGTATGTCCTGGGGCAGGGGAAAAGTTTTATTTGAGGACACTACTGAATGTTGTTAAAGGTGCTACATCCTTTGAAGAGCTGCGCACTTATAATAGGACATTATTTCCCAGTTTTAGGGATGCTTGCTATGCACGTGGATTGCTAAAAGATGATAAGGAATACATTGATGGGATCACTGAGGCAAGTCATTGGGCATCAACATATGCACTGCGTAATTTGTTTGTTACTCGTCTTTTGTCGGATGTGTTGTCAAAGCCACAATTAGTATGGGAGAACTGCTGGCAATACTTGTAATACTTGAAATTTAATATAAACGGATTAATAGTACTACTTATACCAACAGAGGTGCATCTCCTTTTAAGGGAGCTCATCAGCCAAGAACTCCAAAGTTACGCGTGCTTGCGCAGGGAGTAGTCTTGGGATGGGTGGCCCCCCTGAGAAGTTTCTCATGGCGCCCACGAGTGAGGACAAAGTGGGCGGTAAAGGCTCGTGGTGGTTTGTGAGGACAGTACTAGAGGTCAGAAATAACTGCCTCGGGCCCTGCGGGGCCGGGGTGTTACAATACTTTTTAGAGGACATATTGTACAACAATTGAAGGGACCTCAATGACCCTGGTACGTACCTGAACTAATTTTAATTAATATTTTATGCCACTTAATATGATTTCAGTCTATTAGGAAGGAAACTCTTGACATACTTTTATGGAGTGCGTTTTACACCCTAGAAATTGATGAAATTCTTGATGAAGTGGGTGAATTGGTTAATGAAAAAATTATATTTAAAATATATTTTAATAACACAATAAAGAAAAAATTATATGAAAATAGCTAAAATAATAATATGCAGTTACTTCAGCCAATATAACCAGAAAAGCAACTTCAACCTTACTTTTTCTTTATTACACAATTCAGTGTTCAAAATTAAAAGATACTCACGTTTGGTGAAAAAGTTGCCCGATACATATGATAAGCAGAAAAATAGGGTCAACCAATGGGCTCTGAATATGAAAATTATTTTCATATTGTATATTTTAATTTGATGCATTAAAAGGAATGAATTAGTATGGAATACATATGTTATTAATTAGATGATTATGGATTGTTTAAATAAATACTTAAATGATTTAAAACATTTATTTAAATGGGATATAATATGACCTAGGGTTTCTGGATGTTTTTACTTCAACTTACTTCATTCTCAGAACAGATTAGACCAAACCACACTTAAACTAATTGATTTAATTATAACTAAGTTTCCGTGCATGAGTTTTTATCGTATATTTACAAATATAAATAATAAATATATGTATATAGAGTACCAATTGAGCACAGATGAGGTGAGAAAGTATTGCTTCGTGGAGATTGAGAAGCTGTTGAGGAAAATGTGCAGATCACTACGAGATTTTGTGGGAATGTCAATGCCACCTGAATCCGATATTCCCTCCATTGAAGACACCATGATTCATGAAGAGTTAAAGTATGACAAATCTGTTATGGCCGAGTCACATGCAAAATTATTGACAAACATGAATGAAGAGCAATGATGTGTCTACGATAAAATCATGGAATCTGTTGACGGGACGAGTGGAGGGTTCTTCTTTTTGTATGGTCACGGTGGCACTGGAAAAACATATGTATGGAAGACTTTATCAGCAGCAATAAGATCACGAGGTCAAATAGTGTTGAACGTTGCATCGAGTGGGATTGCATCACTTCTTCTTCCTGGAGGACATACTGTGCACTCAAGGTTTGCTATTCCACTCAATGCTACTGAAGACTCAACATGCAATATAAAGCGTGGTAGTCCATTGGCTAAATTGATTCAAATGGCCAAGTTGACTGTTTAGGATGAGGCCCCTATAATACATATGTATGATTTGGCCACAATGAATTTAATTATTATTTATTCTATTAAATTACAATACAATTTTATTAAAATAAAAAATAGTAGTAATATTTATATTACTCTACATAATAACATTAATTTGGTTATAAAATTGTTTGTTATCATCATCAACATCATGAACTTCTTCTTAAAATATTATCATGAATACAAATATTAGTATTATTATTTATTCTAGATTATATTATTGTTCTAATTCTTGATATTAATTATTAAACATTGAGAACTTCATTCATAAAGTTAAAACAAATTGCACCAAAAAACATTAGAAATACTTACATATTTATGATTTTAAAAAAGGTTGTTAAAAAAGGTTGAAATAGTAACTTTAGCCAATTCCCCTTGATGGTTAGCTACGCAATGACGATGAACAAGAGCCAAGGACAATCGTTAGAAAATGTGGGTGTTTTTTTACGACGTCCGGTTTTTACACATGGACAGTTATATGTTGCAGTTTCGAGAGTGACGAGTCTGTCTGGATTGAAGTTCGTGATATGCGACGACGAGGGAAAGCGGAAAAAAACCGCAAAAAATGTTGTCTACAAAGAAGTCTTCAAAAATTTGTAAAATGGTATGTGTATTAAACTTCAAATATTTTTTATTATGCATTTAGTAATGATTACTCTCATTCCAGTGATAAATTATAATAAAATTTTTAATTAATGATTTAGATAGTAATACAATACAAAACAAAGAAAATGAAACGAAGATTTTTCATGTGATAGAACATTAGAACAGGTTGACAGATCAGAAAGGCAGTTATTACTCCGTATTAAATACCATCTGATAAGCTTTGTCGAAGTGCTATCTTTTTGTACCTGTGTACCATAATTTCTAGCGGAAACAACATTGAACCATTTCAATAAAGGTGAATAAAAAACAACTCACCTGTGTACATAAAATAAAAAACATATCCAATAAAGGTAAATAAAAAACAACTCATACATGGTAAATTAAAAAATAAAAACCGTTGTCATGGACCAATTGTAGAATGACCTATTCTTTTACCACGTACTTGGAGAAAATGTGAGAATGAACATGTTGTACTTATTCTACCAAGTTTTCATCTTAATTACTTTGAAGAATCAACAGTTGGTTGTGAGGTTATCGTGCTTAGTGTGAGGTCTCGAGTTTGAACCCCGCTTGGCACATAAGGGTTTGAAACTCAGTGGAGTGAGTTTCAACCCTGATTACCTCAGGCCCCCAGCCCTCCTCCCCAAACCCCTGGAGTAAAAAAACCGTTTATTGTTGAGTAAAATTTCATATTCTAAATTTGTGTTGTACTCACATATCATTATTTATATGCATGTAGCATAAATAATTAAGAATAAAACATCTCATAAATTTTGCCAAAAAAAAACATCTCATAAATCATGTGAATAGAGAACCCACCATGATATGTCGAAGAAGATGAAGGAAGAAGGAATTACAAATTGGTTCATTTTTGGAAATGAATAAGAATGTGTTGAACCAATTCCTTTTTAATAAAGGTGTAGATCGAGTTCAACACATGGTGAGAGAGGTGGTGGTAATTATGGACTCGACCAAACTATGGTTTTTTCTTCATTTGCAGAGTCGGTCTATTTTAAATAGTACTACACATAAGTTTTAAATTTGGCTTCCAATAGAAATGAACAAAACTATTTCACAAAAGCTTAGGTTTGGTTTTGCATTCCAATAGAAATGAAGGGAATTATTTGACCAAAGCTTAGTTATAACATTTTGTATATGAAAATTGATCCGCTAAAACCAAGTGTAACTCTTGTTGTTGGTTATAAAACAAAGGAACTTGTTGTGGTTACAAAACCAAGTTTAAAACATAGATTTGTTGTTGGTTGTATAACCAAGCTTATGATGAAATGAAAGTCATGAAACTAACGAAGTAAGCCAAAGAGAGACCTTAAGAAGTTTTCCACATATCTAAGCTCATATTTGCAGAAAAAAACATAGAGTTCTAGAATAGAATAAAAATAAATGGAATAAAAAATGGAGTTCTAAAATAAAATCGAAGTCTAAAAACAGAGAGAACGCAGAAACCTTCTTAAAAGTGTTACGAGTATTTTTTGACTTTGTTTTATCTTAAGAAATTAGTATAGTTTTGATGTACACCGAAACTTAGTTTCATCAAGAGTCAATATATTTGAATAAGAAACCAAAACTAAGATATTAAAATAGCAATTGATTATAATTAAGTAACTAAATTAGTAATATGTGAATATTAGCAACTAATCATACCAACTAAAGCATCAGGTGCTTAATAGTTCCAGTATTACATGTGTCCTTGAAATTTATACTTCCCATTGTAGGGATAAGTTCAAATAATTAATACAGTACTTCATATGATTGGGAAACCCAAAGGGTGGATAATTATATGAAGAGTTTTTGTAGGAGCCTATAAAAGAGCCATTTTGTAATCAGTTTTGCAGAACTTGAATGAGAATAAAAAAAGTCTCCACTCTAATCTTCTCTACTGTTTACTCCCTCTTTGTATATCCCTGAAATTCTCAACAAATTGGTACCATAGCCTAGGTTGTTTGAAGTGTGGCCAAACACACATCAACTGTCAAAACATAAGGTCTAGAGAAATAATCAGAAATAATCCTTTTGGTTGTGATATCATGTATCGATTCATGTTAGCCCACCCCAACATCTTTTGGGACTACGGCTTGGATGTTGTTGTTGTTGTTTAAGAAAAATGGCTACAACAGATTTGGTGACTCTCGGGCTCTGTATATTATTTCTTTCCCTTTTATTTTTAATTTTTGCACTTAAGTTAACATGAAGCTATAATGATAACACTTTACTCATATTTTTGGAAGTAAATTTTATTTCAATAACATTTTTGGAAAAACTTTTAAATTAATACAAATTAATTTGCTATTTCACAACGAAAATTATCTACGTGATGAAGCAAGTTAGTTTTAATTAATCTCTCTCACCTTCATCAGTAGCAATTGTTGAATTTGGAAAAATAAATAATACACGTATCCCATAGTGAAATATAATTTCCAAAAAAAGTATATTTTATCTCCATGTTGACTCAAATTTTAGAAAAAACACAATACTTAAAATAATAACAATAAAAAGTGTAGTGATTTTTAATAACTTATTTAATTGACTTCCCGATTGATTTGTAAGATGAAATTTGGTGAATATAATCTACACTATAAAAAATATTATTACAAAATTTTATAAAAAAAGTCCACCCGTAAGCACCTCAAATGGAGGCGCCTGGATGGTGATTCATGTAATGTTGGTCTGACAGGACCATTCCTCACAAGTCACAACAATATAGGGTGCAGTTCCAATGAGAATATAATGCTCCTTAACGTGAGAATGTGAACACTTCAAAACGATGGACATTATGGTTCACGAAAATGCACATTTATATTTAAAGTATGGATTTTTTACAAAAATATATAGAAAATAAAACTTATTTACAAAAATATGAGTATTAGTTACTACAATGTATTTTCATAGTAAATAAAGTTTAAAAAATGCATTAAAGTGGATGAAAAACACGGTTACATTTTCGTAAATAAATTAAAACTTTTATTCTTTGCAAATGTGGGTGACAAAAATTTTCTCATTGCAATAGTGCAACTCAGATGCTCAAAGGTGAAGGCGTTCGCATTTTGTATTTTAAAACTATGTATCATCATATTAATATACTACCTCTGTTCCTTTTTATTTAGCCATTTTTTATTTTTTCAGTCAAAGATGATAAGCTTTGATCCATTATTTTAACTTATATACTTATGTGAAACTTAATAAATTTATACTTTTATGATAGTATTTTTAACAACGAACATTTTTATATCATTTTCATATTATGAATAGTAACATATATAAATATATAATCGGTCAAAGTTTAATATCATTGCATTGAAAAATAGTGTTTGGTTAAATAAAAAGGGACGAAAAGAGTATAATTCAAAACAAGTTTTTATGTGATACTCTAGATATACCCCGTGCATCGCACGGGTAAATCGTCTAGTTTTCTTAAATAAATTAGATGTTGAGCTCTTGCAGTGTATCTATGCGACTGTCTATGAGCCTCTTTGCCCTCTTTGTGAATTATGAGTTGGTTAATAATTTGTAAGATATGTAGCGTTAGAATAAAGAGTAAAATTAATGGCTTTGAAAACTGAATAGGCTTTTCCTTTAATCCTTTGCGGTCTGCGGACTCTAGGGTCTATAGAGATCCTTCTTCAGATTTACGGAGTATTAAACTAAATCGTAATGTGGGCGGCAGCTAATGTAATATGTATATTAGACTAATGTATATAAATAAATTAATATTAACGGGTCAGATCCTAAACGGGCCGAAACTACATATACCATACCCGACCCATTAAATAACGGGTCTGGATCCGGGTAACGGAATTAAATGTAGACTCATACCCATTAAAAAAAGACGGATCCGGACCGGGTTTGGTTCTGGACCCAACCCATTGACGGAATTAAATGTAGACTCATACCCATTGACAATTGATAGAGTATATCTAGAGAGAAGTGAGAGCTAGAGAGAGAAGTGCAATAATATGCTTCAATAGAATGAATTTGTAACCCCTAAAACTACTCCCAAGGGGAGTATTTATAGAGAAAATACGGGCTGGGCTCCCAAACCTTGGGCTTGGGAGGCCCATTTACAACTGGACCGCTACTGGGCCGAATACAAAGCCACTAATGGGCTGTACAAATGAGTGAGTATAAAATCCGGTTCTGTGAAGTCCTCGTGGCCGACGAGGGCGTGGCCGACGAGGGCACGGCCGACGAGGGCACGGCCGACGAGGGCACGGCCGACGAGGGCACCCGGGTTCCTTGGGCTCAGGACCACAATCTGAGTTGGCACCTTCTCGGCCGACGGGGGTCCCTTGGCCGACGTGGGCGCCACTCGGTGTCTTGTGCTTTCTGTTCTTCTGAGTATGTGGGTCCAGGGGCTCAGACCCATATACTCCATCAGGAGTCCCCCACTCTCTAAGCTGAGATGTAGACGAAGTGAAGGAGAGTAGATTCCGGTGCTTTAATGCTTCTGGCCGATGCGGGCATTCCCAGGCCGTTAGCTGTTGCGGCGTTGGCGCCGTTTTCGTTTTGGTGATCCTGTTCTGTGCTTTGGCCGTTACCTGCTCCTCGCTGTGGGCGGGGAGGCCGTTGTTTCCTTGATGTGTTCATTTGGGGACGATGAGTGTACTGCTTCAATGGTGGCCGTTGAAGGCGCGCTTTTCCTTTCTTGGGCGTTGATGGTTGAAGTTCACATTCGGGCCGATGAGGCCATTGAGGTTGATCCTTTCTTTGAGGACGATGGCGTCCTTTCCTTTGGGTGGCCGATGAGGGTGCTAGCGCACTCCTTTTGGCCGTCGTTGGCTGGTTTTCGTGTTCTTGGCCGAAGAGCCCATTATGATTAACTGTTGGCGGAGGATGATGAGTGCCCTTGCCTTAGGTGGCCAGTTGGCCGTTGCTGATGACGTTATGTTCCTTTGGCCGACGAGGCGCAGTGTGATACATGGACGATGTGGCCATGTTTCATGGTTACATTTGTTGTTTGCATTTTTCCTTTTGTTTTGTTAAGGCCGGTGTAGTCCCCCAGTCCCCCACTGCTTCAGGCCGAAGGGTGTGAGGGGTGAAGGAGTTGTTTGAGTCCCTGGCCGAATCGGCCTCCCCGCAGTGCCCCTGAATCCAACCCTCATGGCGATTTTCTGGCCAAGGTAACCCTGTGGGAGAACCCTTGTGCGCAGATCGCTTGTAAAGAGTTATCATCAAGGGTCGTTACGAGGAGTCGATGGCTGTGGGTTCTTTGTTCCTCTGGTTCTATGGCCGTTACGGGCGTTCATTACGTTCCTAGCCGTTGTCATCCCCTCATTGTTTGGCATTTGTGACCTTGGCAGGCAAGTAGGCCATTGTGGGCGCTTGCTGGCACGTGTGAAGCCGGCCAGTGTGTAGGCCGTAGAGTCTGATTCGCTAGTGGGCTCCCACTGATATGTAGCTTGGCCCGTTGGTGACGTGGTGGCCTCCCATTGGTGGCCGTTGATGTGGCCATTGGGAGGGTGCCACGTGTAGTGACCGTTGGGTGGGGGGTTCTATAAATACCCCTCCCCCTCCGACGAGAAAACTCATTTGCATTCTGAATTGTCGAAGTGCTGGCCAATTTTCTAGAGAGATAAACTCCCAAGCTTGTTCTTCGTGTTCTTCGTGTTCAAGGTTAGTGTTCATCGCCATCTTCTGTACTTTGCATACTTTGCTTCCTAGGCTAGTGATCTAGTGTTAGGCGTTTGAACACCCTTAGATCCTAAGTTATTCCCCTTAGGCTCGTAGTAGTTGTTACGATGAAGAGCTTGAACGAAGACTACTATCCGTACGACGACCAGCCCTCCACTAGGTCACTCGACTATGAGGTGCTCGAGGAGTTCGAGGAGGAGATAGAACATTTAAGCCCTTACAAGTCCGGGGAGCCGGTGGACGACGAAGTCGAGGACGAGGAGTCCGCCTCGTCTTCAAAAGGTGAGGACGCAGCTGCGTCCCGAGTGGTGGACGGGGCGTCCACTTCAGCTGTTATTCCGTGCCCGAGGCCGGTGTCCGCCGTTAAGGGAGCCGATAAGCCGAAAAGGATAAGGAGGCCGAAGAGTGGGCCTAGCGTCTCCTACCTGGACCTCACCAACATCTTCCTTATCAAGCCGGAGAGCAGCGCGGCCGACTACTTGGTTGCCCAGATGTACGTGGGCTCGTTCGGGCGGGTTATGGCACCCAGGCCGACGGACCATGTTCTTCATCCGCCACCGGGGTACTTTGGAGTATACCCGATGAGTTTTGCCAAGGGGCTGAGGTTTCCCCTTCACCCCTTCATCACCGAATACCTTGACATGGTGGGGCTCCCTCCGGCCTTGCTGACGCCAAACAACTATTCGTTGATGGTGGGGTTTCTGCTCCGTTGTGAGGAGCTGGGCTACAGGCCGACGACGGCCCTGTTCATGAATCTGTATCAGATCGGCCGAGGAAGCCACAAGAACTGTGCGGCCTATGCTACTCTTCAACAGCTGCCGAAGAAGAGGAGCTTCACGGACTTGCCCTCGTCCATTCATGGGTGGAAGAGCAAGTTCGTTTTTGTATCCCTTGGTGAGAGTGGCACCGAGTTTCCCTCTCTCGGCCATACCGGGAGGTTTAATCTGCATGACCCACCGAAGAGCTCTATCTTGGACGCTCAGGTGGAGGCTTTCTTGGAAGGGGGGCCGAGGAGCATGAAGGATTATATCACTGAATACAAGATGACCGCCCTCGGCTTCTTGAGGTACCATGTGTATGGCGATAAGGAGGATGACATCCAACTCTGGCCGAGGATGACCACCACCTTCGAATAGGCCGACGGCCCGGACTTGGGCATTCCTGCTGAGGCCGATGGTAATTATTTCTTCGGCTTTCTGTCTTTATGATTTGTTCTTTTGCCCTGCTAATCTGTTGTTTTTCCTTTGTGTAGATTTTGTCATGGACCGTCGTTCCATCATGGCTATAGCAAAGGCCAAGGCGGCCAAGGAGTTGGCCGCAAAGGCGGCCGAGGCGGCCAGACGTGCCGCGGCCGAGGGAGGCGGGGCTACTGCTGGTGCGGCCCCAAAGCCTGCCCAATCCAAGAAGAAGAGGCCTCCTACTGACGGCCAGAATAAGTTGACTGAGGCCGGCCTGAACGTCGCCAAGAAGACGAAGAGGGCACCGTCTCCTTCCCAGGCTACTGAGGCCGGCACTCTTGTCGTCCCCAGTGTGGTCGATAGCGGTCCTGTTTTGGACCTCACTGCTGCTCCTAGCGATGCTGCCCAATCGCTTCCTCTCGTCCAGGAGCCACGGACGAAGAGGGTCGGCAAGGAGATTGCCGGTGCCACCTACCAGAAGATGGTGGAATACCCCGTCGGCGGGGGTGTTTTTGATGACGTTGTCCTCGGCCACGATGTGCTGGCCCAGGCCATGCCGGCCAAAGATAGGGCCTACCTGAAGAGGCTCGGGGACGTGAAGGTGTACGAGGGCGGGATGGACCTCCTCGTCCAAGTAAGTTCCTTTCCTTTTGCTTGCCATTTTTCTCGTCGTCCGTGTAGAGTCATATGCCTGAGTTTTGTTTTCCTTTTTTATGCAGGGTGCCTTTATGCTCATGGAGAGCCATAAGAGGCAGTACCGGGAGATAGCTCATCTGAAAGAGCTGGAGCAGAAAGCTGCCTCGGCCGATGACGCGGTCGCTTGTTTGGATAGGCTCCGGGAGGATGCCAAAGCCTTGCAACAGAAGGCCGACGAGGCCGCCGCAGCCAGGGACGATGCCCTGGCCAAACTCGAGGAGAACCAAAGGGCGCTGGAGGCCGAGCGGCGCAAAAACGAGGAAGCCGTGAAGGCGAAAGTTGAGGCCGAGGCTACCGCTGTGAAGGCTGCTGATGAGGCCGTTGAGCAGTTCTTGGCCGAGGGGTGGAAGGCCGATGAGCGGCTCCCTTGGTGTTATGAAGTGGTGGCTGTCAGGCTTGAAGATTGGGGGATGAACTCCCCCACCGGCCAGGAGTATTTCAGCAGGGAGATGGCCGTGTATTATAACATGGGCCAGGAGCGGATGCAGAGGCTCCTGTGTCGGCGGCTATCTCGTGCTCTGAAGGCCATGAACTATACGTCCGGGTGGGCTAGACGGAACTTGAAGCTTCCTAAGCTGATGAAAGATCCCGAAGAGCAGGCCAAGCTTCCTCTGTCGGAGCGGGAGTCCCCCATTGAGAGTTCCGGCCTCGGCGAGCCGGATTACACAGAATTCGACTTCTTGGACGATGCCACCAGTGCTGCGGCTGCCGCCGGCCAGGAGACTGAGGCCGAGGAGGGAGCCGACGACGTCGAAGAGCCAGCCGAGGATGGAGGTGCTCAAGAGGCTTGATCGACTATTCCCCGCTCCCTTGTAATTAGTTTCGCTTTTTTGCCGAATTGATGTAATGGCCGAAGCGCCCCCCTTTGTACTGAACTGATTATGAATGAAAAATTTTTTGTTGTCCTGCTCGGCTTTGAATTCCTTGTATGCTTATTGCTTTTTGTCATTTCAATTCTGCAATTTTGTCCAAGTGTAAAAGTTACAACTTAGGTCACCCGCGAGTGTCTGCTACGTCCTTGAGTTAGTCCATCCTGTCCGGTGGCCTGGTCGGCCTGGCCGTCGTTTATTTACTATCATAACACTTAGGATTTATTCAAAAATTTCCTAAGTGTTTTGGATCCACTTAGGTGCTTTCTTTCTGGCCTGGTGGCTTTGTCGGCCTGACCGGTGTTTCTTTACTATCATAACACTTAGGATTTATTCAAAAATTTCCTAAGTGTTTTGGGTCCACTTAAGTGCTCCCCTTTCCGTCCCTGACCGTGGTGTCCGTTCCGTCCTGGCGTTGTCCCACTCTTCTTTGTTGTTAGAATTTTTCTAAGTGTTTAACTTCAAGTGGATGGGTGTTCTTATCGTCCTGGTATTGGATTTCTCCTCATTGTTGACAAATGCTTTGGGAGATTTCCCAGGTGTTGAACCAATGTCGTTTGTCGGCCCATGAAGGTCGGCCTGCATCCTTGCGTTGTGGCCGATAAGGGCACCTACCACTGCCGGCTAGGAGGTGGCCCTACCATCATCGGCCAAGGTCTGGATTTGTGGCCGATGAGGGTGTCACTTGTTTTTCCCAAGAGAAAACCCTACCTTCATCGGCTAAGGCATAGTTCCTTCTTGAGGAACTTTTTTCCTCAGAATTTTCTCTATGTGTTTGGTAAACACTTGAACAAATTTCCAAAGAACTTTCTTTAGCAAAGTGTTTTGGTTCCAGTTCCTGTATCGGCTATCCGGGATGCTGTGGTAAGTAGGGATTGTTTCTTGATTGCTTGATTCCTCCGTGGGTGTGATAAGTGCCCGCTTCGTCTTGGTCATCCTCAGGATTGTGATTCTTTGTTTCATACCAAGCGTTGGTGCTTCAAAGGACTGTGGCCGATGAAGGTCACCTCTCACGTGTCACCCAACCGATGCGGTTAGGGTTTTATAGGCGTGTGTTTCGGCCTTGATCATTCCCTTGTAGTGCGTGGACGTGTCGTCCATGTTTACCTGTCAGTGGTACTATACTTGTGTTCAACTGATATGTACTTGGCCTAGTTGGGCCTGAGTTGTGGGGATTTTATTTTTTCATTGCTCGAGGCCGGCCAGTGTGCACGGCCGTCGGCTTCCCTCTTTTTCCCTTATATATATATATAATTTTTTTTTTGCTTCGGGGAGTATCCTTCTTTCAGGCTTCGGCCGAAGGGTGTGCTCGTCCTTCGGCCGATTCGGACTTCGTTTATAACGTCCGTGATCTCAGGGCGGGTCCCATCGCCTATTTATGACGCGGGCTAGACTTTTGGTCGGTTTCTAACGGCTGTCGTTGCCCATCCCTGAGTTTTGGGATTTTGTCACCTCGGCCATGATTTCAGGCCTGACGTCCTGCGATCTGGCGCGTGGACGACGCGGTGAGCTTCCCATTTCAAGACGTGGGCCGTTTGCGGGCCCCTCGTCCTGGGGACATCGTCGGCCATACCTGAGCGTTTCACTTCTAGGCTTACGGGGCCAGGACGATGTGCTCTCTCAGCTAGGCCTGAGCCCTTCGCTGATACAAAATACAATGTAACGCCTGATCTTGTCGATCGTAGGCTGCAAGTGCAAGGGGCCTCGTCGGCTACGCCTGAGCCTTTCGCTCTAAGGTGGCCGATGAGGGCGCCTGCTAATGTCTTTACTTTAAATTCCAGAGAAAAAATCAAGAGGAACATGATTTTATTCATAAGTGGCTCGAGGCCGAGGGTGGCGTTCAATCAGTAACCCGTTAAGGGGTGAGGGCTTCGCCGTCTGCACCTCCTTCGGATTACTGATAAAACTTCACCAGATGGTGTACATTCCACGTTCGTGGTACATTGGACCCATTCGGGCGTTTAAGCTTGTAGGTACCGGGTTTGACCACGGCACTGACGATGTAGGGCCCTTCGTACTTCAATGCTAGCTTGCCACCCTCCGTCGGCTGGCTTGCTTCCCTTCGGCGGAGGACGTAGTCCCCCACCTGAAATTCCCGGGAACGTACCTTGGCGTCATAGTATGATTTTACTTGACGCCGGTAGTTCTCTGCTCGGACGTAAGCTTGCTCACGCCTCTCATCGACCAGATGCAGGTCAATCTTCATGTTCTCTTCGTTGGCGTCAGGCTCATATTGTTCCACCCGTCGGCTGGGGATGGCAACTTCCGTGGGCGCCTTTGCCTCAAAGTCGTAGCATAGGGCGAAAGGCGTTTCACCTGTCGCCCTCCTCGGCGTGGTTCTGTAGCACCACAGGATGTAGGGGAGCTCGTCGACCCAACTACCTCCTGCGGCCTGGAGTTTCTTCTTCAGCCCCTCCATGATTGTTCTGTTGGCGTTCTCGACCTGCCCGTTGCCCTGAGGGTAGGCAACGGAGGAGAAACGATGCTTCACCCCAAACTTCCGGAGGAGCTCCTGGAAAGGGGCTGCCTCGAACTGGGTGCCGTTGTCTGATATAATCTCCTGGGGGACGCCGAAGCGTGTGATGATGTTCTTATAAACAAATTTTTGGCACCTGGCCCCCGTGATGTTGGCCAGAGGTTCCGCCTCGACCCACTTGGTGAAGTAGTCGACGGCAACGATGATGTAGCGGTTATTCCCGGCGGCTCTGGGCAGGGGGCCGACCAGGTCAATCCCCCATCTAGAGAATGGAATTGCGGTGCTGACGGGGGCGTAGTTGACGGCTGGCCGACCAGGGGCCTTCTGGAGCACCTGGCATGTGGTACACTTCCTGGCCAGATCCGCGCAGACTCGCGCCATCGTCGGCCAGAAGAAGCCCTGGACGACGAGACGTCGGGACATGCTGAAAGGGCCCTGGTGCGAGGAGCAGACGCCACAATGAACTTCTTCCATGGCCATGTCGGCCTCGTCCTGGTGCAGGCATCGGAGGAGAGTGCCATTATAGGACCGTTTGTAGAGTTTGCCATCTTCAATGGTGTAGCTTGGGGCCCTGAGTTTGGCAAGTTTGGCCCTCTCCTCGTCCGGGGGCAGCTCCCCCGTTGTGATGAAGGTGACGATGTCGGAGATCCAGTCTTCTGGTCGTTGTTGGACGCACAAGACGGGGCTGGCATGGATGCTGGACATGCTCAACTCCTCGATCTTGGCCAGCTGGGAGATGTGCTCTGGGGTGTCCGAGCTGAGTTTGGAGAGGATGTCGGCCTCGGCGTTCTCGGCCCTTGGGATCTGTGTGATCTCGTGGGTTTCGAACGCCTTCAGCAGCTCCTCTGCCGCTTGTTTGTACTGCTTCATTCGTCCCTCCTTTGCTTCGTACGATCCCTCCACCTGGCCCACTACCAGTTTGGAGTCGCACTTGATTTTGAGATGCTTGGCCTTGAGGCCGGCGGCGAGTCTGAGACCGCTGAGGAGGGCCTCATACTCGGCTTCGTTGTTGGATACCCTGAAGTTGAAGCGGATGGCGTAGTAAGCTCTGAATCCTTCAGGGGATATGAGGACGCCGCCGCCGCCACATGATTTCGCGGCCGACGAGCCGTCAGTGAACAGGGTCCATGTATCGTCCGGCTCCGGCCCGGGGTTGGCGACGGCCGTCTCTCTTGCTGTGCATTCAATGACGAAGTCGGCCAAGGCTTGCCCTTTGATAGATGGCCTTGGCTTGATCTCAATTTGAAACTGGCTGAGGAAGATCGCCCATTTCACCATCCTTGAGGAGCTGGTGGGACTCCTCATGAGTGCGCCGAGAGGCTGCTGGGTCAGCACATGGACGGTGTGGGCCTGGAAATAGTGCCCAGCTTCTTCACCGTGTGGACGATGGCTAGCACCGTCTTCTCAATGGGGGAGTACCTGAGCTCGGCCTCCCTGAGTGTCTTGTTGATGTAGAAGATGGCCTTCTGCACCCCTTCGTCCTCACGGATGAGCACGGAGCTGATGGCCGATGTGCTCACCCCTAAGTACAAGAAGAGTGTTTCGTCGGCTTTGGGCTTGGAGAGCACGGGTGGGGGCGACAGGTACCTCTTTAATTCGTCGAATGCTTCCTGGCACTCCGTCGTCCACTTGAAGCTGTTGGCTTTACGCATGATCTGAAAGAAGGGGAGTGCCCTCTCGGCTGACCTGGAGAGGAACCGGTTCAGGGCCGCCAGGCGCCCCGTCAGTCGTTGTACTTCCTTGACGTTACGGGGCGGCTCCATGTTGATGATAGCCTGCGTCTTCTACGGGTTTATCTCGATGCCTCTCCGGCTGACCATGTAGCCGAGGAACTTGCCGCCCTGGACGCCGAAGGCGCACTTCTTGGGGTTGAGCCGGAGCCTGAACTCCTTCATAATTTCAAAGATTTCCCGGAGGTCGTCGGCGTGGGAGGAGTCCTGCCTGCTCTTAACGATCATGTCGTCGACGTACGCCTCCATCGTCCGGCCAAGGACCGCTCTGAAGATCTTGGCCACCATCCTAGTGTAGGTGGCGCCGGAGTTTTTTAGTCCGAAGGCCATGACGAGATAGCAAAAGATTCCCTCTGGGGTCATGAATGTCGTCTTCTCAGCGTCATCTTCATGCATGGAGATCTTGTGGTACCCTCTGAAAGCGTCGAGGAACGACATCAATTCGCACCCCGCCGTCTCGTCCACCAGCTGATCAATGTTGGGGAGAGGGAACGGGTCCATGGGTCATGCCTTGTTCAGGTCAGTGTAATCAACACACATTCTGAACGTCGGCGGTTTCTGGGCGAGGACGACGTTGGCCAACCATGTCGGGTACTTCACCTCTTTAATATGTTTGATTGAGAGGAGCATGGCGACCTCCCCTTTGACGAAGTCCCGCCTGTCGGCGGACAAGTAGCGCCGCTTCTGTTTGACAGGCGCGGAGGCCGGATCGACGGTCAGCCGGTGAGTGATCACCTGGCGGCTGATGCCTGGCATATCGTCCGGGCCCCACGCGAAG